TGCGCCTTTAACACCAATTTTATTAAACCTTTATAAATATTGAAGAAAAAATTTATAATTAAATAGTAAATTAGAAGGAAAAAATACGAAATAATAAGATAGATTAATTAATTAAAAAAGAAAAGTTGAAAATAAAACTATGAGTTAAATTAACAAAGAAAGAACACAAAAAAAAGAAAAAGAAAAAAGAGCTTTATAATTTTAAATTAGTTTTTATAATTAAAAATATCACAATCAAAAACAAATAAACTGTTTTTACCCAAGATTGAGTGTCAAATTTGAGAGATTAATGCAATTTCCTAAACCAGAACCTAAGCCTGATGCACCTTCATCACCAATTTCATTAGTACTTTTTAAATATTGAGTAAAAAATTTATAATTAAATAGTAAATTAAAACGAAAAAATATGAAATAATAAGATAGATTAATTAATAATAAAAAGAAAAGTTTAAAATAAAATGATGAATTAAATTAACAAAGAAAGAACACAAAAAATAGAAAATACAATAAAAATAAAAAGAAAAAAGAGCTTTAATGTTTTAAATTAGTTTTTATAATTAAAAATATCACAATCAATAATAAATAAACTGTTTTTACTTAAGTCTAAGTGAAAAATTTGAGAGATTAATGCATTTTGCTAATGCAGAACCTAAGCCTGTTGTACCTTCATCACAAATTTTATTATACCTTTTTAAATATTGAAGAAAAAATTTATAACTAAATAGTAAATTAGAAGGAAAAAATATGAAATAATAAGATAGATTAATTAATTAATTATAAAAAGAAAAGTTGAAAATAAAATTATGAGTTAAATTAACAAAGAAAGAACACAAAAAAAAGAAAACTAAATAAAAAGAAAAAGAAAAATGAGCTTTATTGTTTTAAATTAGTTTTTGTAATTAATCATATCACTATCAAAATCAAATAAACTGCTTTTACCTAAGATCAAGTGTCAAATTTGAGAGATTAATGCATTTTACTAAAGCAGAACCTAAGCCTAATGCACCTTCATCACCAAATTCATTAGAACTTTTTAAATATTAAGTAAAAAATTTAAATTAAATAGTAAATTAGAAGGAAAAAATATGGAAAAAAAAGAAAACACAATAAAAAGAAAAAGAAAAAAGAGCTTTATTGTTTTTAATTAGTTTTTATAATTAAAAATATCACAACCAAAAATAAATAAACTGTTTTTACCTAAGGATGAGTGTCAAATTTGAGAGATTAATGCAATTTGCTAAACCAGAACCTAAGCCTAATGCACCTTCATCACCAAATTAATTGTACCTTTTTAAAATTTGAAGAAAAAATGTAACTAAATAGTAGATTAGAAGGAAAAAATGAAGAAATTATATGAAATATTAAGATTAATTAATAATTAGTAAAATTAACAAAGAATGAAAAAAAAGGAAAATAAATTAAAAGAGCCTTATTGTTTTAAAATAACTTTTATAATTAAAATATTACAATCCAAAACAAATAAACTGTTTTATTAAGTGTAAGTTTCAATAGCAAAAAATGAAGAAAAAATATAAAATAATAAATAATTAAAAATTGAAATTAAAATTAAGTTAAAGTAGCTAAAAAATGTTTGCTTTAATAAAAATCAATGAATAATGATGATAATTTCTACAAGAAAAATTATTGGTTTAAATAAATTGAAAGTTAAATATATAAAAATATTAATAATAATAATAATTATATTTCTTAATTAAAAATATACGCCAGATTAATATGGAGAACCTAATGAGATAAAAGTGAAGAGTTTAAAAACTTTTTTTATTATTTAAAATAAATTTAAAGAATATTAATAAAAAAATAAATAATTACTTCTTCTAATTTTGTGTAATATTTAATCTATTATATCATTTATTTTTTTTTTCAAAAATATTGAATAGTTAATTATGAAATTTTATTAATTATAAATGGGTAAAAAGAACAAATAAAATATAATAATTAATTATCAAAATTTGCTCTTAAGAAGATATATAACAAAAAAATTAATTAAAAATTAATTATTTAATCTTAATACTTGCATTTAAAACATATATAGCTAAATAAATGCTATTCAAAAATTTAGTGAATTGAGTTCACTATTTTTTTGAATGGCTGATGTATTTGAAGATTATTTATATAAAAATAAATAATTATTTTTTAATAGAATTTCATTAATAATATTTATAGTTAATTTTAATTTATATCAATCTTTATGATTTTTTGAAAATTTTTTATTCAAATTTACCTATTTGATTATCATGAGGGGGAAAAAATAAAAAAATTTTCTATTTTTTTATTGTATTTCTATAATAGATTTATTTTTAAATATTATAACCTCAAGCGCCATAGAGTAATGCAATTCAAATATTTCATAAAAAATTGTTAATATATTTGTATAGAGCATAATTAATTTAATTAATATCTATTACTTAATTGAAAAATAATATTTATAATTAAGATTAATAAATACATCAATTTTTAACTAACTTTTACAATTTTATTTTGATAAAAATAGATTTTTTATTAATTATATTATAAAATAAATTATATCAATTTTATTTTTTATTTTTTATTTTTAATTATTTTTTTTTAAGCAAAATAAAATTATTTTTCTCTCATTTCTATTCCAAAATTTTGCAATTTTTGTTGAATTTAAGAAAGATAACTGAAACATACATATATAGCCTGAATAACATTTTCTTACATTTAAAATTAAGACTATTTAATTGATTAGATTTCATCAAATTAATAATCAAAGACAATAAGTAGAAAAAGTAACTATTATTTAGAAAAAAATGAGAGTAAAATAAATAAGATTTTAAGCTAAAAATTTAAATAAATAGAGCAAAAGTATTTTAAAATAAAAAAAGAGCATAAAAGTGTTGAAAACCATAAAGAATTTCAAAAAAATTCCTTATATTTAGGTGGAAGAAGACGTTATAAGTGGGTACATTTCTTGCCATCTTCAAGCATTTAATTATGATGAAACTACCAATCGTTTATTAAAGCTGAAATTATTTATTGAAATATTATCTAAAGTAATGTAAACATATTTAGATATTTCATCTTACCAAGGCAAAAGCTAATAACAAAAGAGTTAGATTAGAAAGTAGTTAAAGAGGTTTATTTTTTAAAAAATATCTCCTCTTATTATAGAAGATATAGTAGAAAAGTATTAAGATTTTTTTGCTCACAAAAACCTCTAAAATGGAGGACGCATTTAATAAAGAGTTTTATTAAATTGCTTGAGAGATAAAATTTGGCAATCTTATTAAGAGAAGGCAACATTAGGATAATCATCTAGTTTATTTCAATAAGAGCAAGTAGAAAAGAGTGAAATTAGCAACCAAACAAAAGAACAAAAAGAATAGAATCCTTAGAAGCTGTTTTAACTTTCAAAAAGTAAAGCTACTTATCTAAATGATAGGCAAAAAAAATTTAAAGCTGAGTGTAGTTCTTTGCCGAATAACGAGTTGTTTTAAAATAATTAAAAGGAATATTTTAGAGAGAAAATTGAATGTTAGCACTAATGCATAGAAGGAGAATAGCTTTTTATATATTAAAAGCAACAAAACGATAGAAATAATTGCAAATCCAATTCAAAAATAAAAGAAATATTAAAAATCAAAACACGTTAATAATAAGGAGAAGATTTAAATAATAATATTTACAAAGGAAATTATTAAACTCCCATTTCCTTAACTTAGATATAAAGATAGAATTTGTTTAATTTAATTATTAAAAATCAAATAAATTAATTCAATAAAAAAATAATTCATATCACTCAAAATTAATTGAGTTTTCCTTAACTCAGATTTAAAATTTAAAAGTCAATCAATAATGGAAGAAATAAATTATTAGAAGAAAAAGCATATCAAACACCAAATTTAAATGATAAATTAATAAACAAGAATAATTTGTATTTTCCAGTTTAAAATGAGTTTAATAGGGATAGCAATAAAGTATCAAATAAATTTTTTGTATAATCTTAGTAAGATGTATTAAGCTAGACATAAAAATAAAATTTGATGAAAATTGATTCACATGAAAAGAGAACTTCAAATAAAACTTGTATTGAGCAATAAATCAATAAATATGATGAAAATTAATAAAATATTAGTTATTTAAATTGTGATAATAAGTTATAAAAGTTAATACTCTAAAGAGATAGATAATACTTAAAATTTAATGACAATAATTAGTTTGAATTTCAAGATTTGTTTAAATAAACTTAGAAGAATAAGATTTTAGGTGGAGGTATCTGTGGCAGTAAATAAAAAGTAATTGCTGTGAAACCAGAAGATTAGTATTAACAAATAAAAAAAGAAATCAAACTTAAAAGTATAAAAAATTAGAGTTAAGATGATAGAATGAAGGAAGAATAGCGAATTAATAGAAAATTTGAAAAATTTAATAAATCATATAATGAATTTTTTGCGATTAAAGAAGATAGTAATGTAGAAGAAAGCTTAAATGTATTAGAAACTGAAGTAAGATAGATAATAGAAAAAACATTATATGATTTCAGAGAGTAGATAGTTTTGCAAGAAATTAGACCAAAAGTCATAGACATGATAAATCTACTTATCAACTATTTTCTTATTATTAAATAAAACAATTCTAAGTCATCTGTGCAATCTGATATCAATGCGATAAGCGATAAATTATAAATACTCATCGTTTATTGTAAAGAAAATAAAGAGAGACATCCTTGTTTGCTTGTTTGGATTTATTTTAATATTTTGACATTTTAAAGTCTTTGAATTCTTAAAGAGAAGGATTAGATGAAGCTAATAAGCACATCGCTATGCAAATTATTGAAAAAATAGTTGAGGTTGCTAAATTTGGAGCTGGATTTGTCAGTATTGCAGGTGCTATCAAAAATTTAACAGAAGTCGATTTCAATAAGCTGAAAGATTTCATAAATGATATAAAAAAGATTGCAGACAAATTAACATCTGATGCTTCTGTAGGATCTATTAAGTAAGGGCTTGGTGTTTATTCTAATTACAATAGCAATAATATATCCAACAATATGCTATCTTTATGGCTAAAAAAGGTTTAATACATGGGTGAGAATCTTTCTGATCAGATTTTAGAAATTATTTTCTATTTGGAAGAGTGTGATAAAATTAAAAGTAATGACACTCGATTATTTGTTTATATGCAATTGAACTATTTGTTGTCCAAGTAGCAAATAAAGGACAATTTTGAAGAACTTCGTTAGAGATTAGAAGGACAGAATAAGAGAGAACTTATTATCAATTAATAGAAGTTTTTATAAGTGGAAGAGTATTCGGATGGAATTATTGATTTACTCAAAAGTGTAGCTAATTTAATAGCATAGAGTCATTAATTTCGATACATAAAAGCTTAATTACTTCTTCATTTTGCTTAAATCTTATCAGTCAAACACTAAAACGAATTTAAAGACATGATGAATAATATCGTCTCAAATTATTTAATGGAGAAATAAAAATCTGTTAAGATTGTGAGTGAATATAATTAAGTTATGGCTGAGTTTATTGATAATTAGCTTGATAAAACTCAAATTTTGAATCAAATTAGCCAATAAAAATAATAAATGACTAAGCATTTAGATGATAAGTCAGACTTCGATAACTTCGCATATGATATTTAGAATTAAAAAGATTTAGACAAGCAATTAGCTAAATATTTTGTTGAAATTTGGGAATAAAGTGTCAAGCAAAGATAGAAAGATCTTGAAATAACCCATAAAGATGATGCTTTGCTAGAGGCTATTCACTTGTATGTTAATTAATAAATAACGCATTAAGATGGCTATAAATTTAAAACAGATGAAAAAGATGCAGTGAAATAAATTTTTGACTAATTCCTCATCCCTAACTTTGTATTTTCTTAAGAAGAATAAAAAGTAAATGACCAAGCCAATTAAATATCAACATGTAAAATCATATCAATATTGGCAGAAGGAGGTTCTGGAAAATCGATGCTCTTGAAAAAAATAGAAGTAGAAGTTCTGAATGATAATTCAAAATACAAAAGTGACAATAGAACTGATTTCATACCATTTATAATTAAATGCAACTCATTAGATAAAGAAAAACCTTCAATTGAAGATTACTTAGAATCTTTAAACATAAAGAGAAAAGACATTGATAATTTAAAGAAATCCGAGAGAAATAAACTAATCATGCTTGATGGCTATGATGAATATACTGGTGATTATTTTAAGGTTTACCAAAAGTTAAATCTCAATGAATGGGTGAATACTCTAGTCATTGTAACTTCTAGATTAGAAAAAATCACAGTCTCTGATGCTAAAGTCTACTTTAATTACTACGACAATTAAGGAAACGTAAGTCATAGTGATTCATATGGAATATTCAAACTGGAAAAAATAACAAACCAAGACATTGAAGATTACTTATAGAAGTATAAAAATTAACAATAATCAGAAAATTAAGTAGATTTTGATTTAGAACAACATGAAAAACTTAAAAAAATTATTTTTAATAATAATTAACTAAATGAATTGCTAAAGTTACCAATCAATTTGTATCTCACAACAAGAATGATTTCAGATATTGACCTTAAAAACGAAAGAATTTTGAACACTTTCTAGCAAGCTTCAGACTAAATTGACATTTAAGAGTTATTTTTCTCTTAGCAATTCAAAAAAAAAGCTCAAATATTTGTTCAATAATAAAAATACCTTATATTAAATGACAAACAAAGATAAGCTATAGCAGAAAAAGTAGAATCTTGCTACTTTGAATATTTCCAATATATCGCTATGCATATGTTTATTTAAAAAGGCTAAAAATCAAACTTTCTTTCAACAAGTAGAGACTAGATTAAATTTAATCCTAGTGAAGAAGTATCACTTTTCTTCAAATAAAATAAAATAGATGAAAATGAAATTATTTAGAAATTAACTAATTATGTTGATTCTAGAGTTATTACAAGAATTTAATTGAAACTTGAAGGAAAAAACTCTAAAAATTAGAATAAAGAAAATTAAATTTAAATGAATAAAGATAAAATTGAAGAAAATTAATCATAAGAATTCGAGTTTAGACATAAATCTCTTTTTGAATTCTTTGCTGCTAGAGCTATGAAGTATGATTTTGACTTACATAAATAAAATATCTTTAAGTTAGACATTTCCAAACTGAAACAATTCAACATTAACAAAAGAATCATCATGAGCAGTGAAAAAAATGCATCAGAACAACAAATTCTTATAAAGCTTTATAAACTTATGAAATCTGATATTCAATCATAATTTTTCTACTAAACATACAGCTTAGAAGATATATCAAAGACAAATAAATACATTTAATATCTAAAAAAGTCGAAAATTTCGAAAAATACAGAAAAGAGCTAAATAGACATTGGAACTTCTAATTTATTATCAGCTCTGTTTCTTTCTAAATTTTCATATCCTAATTTGATTTTAAATAAATGTTCGCTTTCCTTAGCATATATTACTTCCCAATCTCAAATTCTAGCTGAGTTTTAGGATTGCAATCTAAGCGACTCTTTAATTGAAAATCAAAACTTAGAAAACTATGAAAGTTCAAACACAAAGAATGCAATATTTGATGGTTTCTAAAAATAAATGGACTCAGATAATATTTATTAATTTAACAAAGCAATACTATCAAAAAATAATCTTGTATCTATCACTGAGAGTGGTTTTATTAATAAATTTGAGATAGGTCAAAAAAATTTCAAATAATTATTGTCAAAGCAGATTACTAATACCTCATTGAAAAATATTTATTATGAGAGCACAAAAAATATTTTTGTTGCTAATACGAAAAAGTCTTTGTTTGAAATAAATTCCAAAACTTTTGAAATAATTTCCTCTTTCACATTCGTATCTCATATATCATGTTTATCAATCAATAAATCATAATATTTTGTTAATTTAATTAACAATTAAATATTTTAAGGGGATTTTTAAAAAGGATTCACGCTTTTAGACTAAAACAAAATTCAAGCTGAATCGTCAATTTCGATAAAGGATATAATAATCGCTTCTAAAAATCAAGAAATCAATATTTATAATTAACAAAATCTTTAAATTATAAAAAACATTTAAAATTGCTCATCTGATCTGACAATATCTTCAATTTCTAGCGATGAAAAATATTTAGCAGCAGTTTCAGAAGAAAAAAATTGCATAATTTTCAATTTAGTAAATGAATTTGATATCTTAAAAACTATCTAAACTGAACACACTAGACCTATAACCTCAGTTGCCTTTTCAGACAACGGAAAATATCTAGCAACTAGTTCAAGTGATAATCATTGCAAAATCTGGAATGTAAAAGAAGGATTTGCACTCTTGCATGCCATTGAAACAGAATATTTATAAATACACTCAGTATCTTTTTCAACTGACGGAAGATATCTCATAGCCTGCTCAGCTGATAAAACTTGCAGAATATGGGACTCATAATAAGAATTCAAACTAGTAAATAAGATCGAAGGACATACTTAGAAGATTTCTTCAGTTACCTTTTCTCCGAATGACTAGTATATTGCATCTGGCTCTCATGATAAAACTTGCAAAATTTGGAGTATAAAAAATGGTTTAGAACTCGTAAATAAAATTGAAGGACATACTCATCCTGTAACATAAGTAGTTTTTTAGGCAAACAATAAATATTTAGCAACAGCTTCAGAAGATTAAACTTGCAAAATTTGGAATATTGAAAAAGGATTCTCACTGCATCACACACTTGAAGGAAATAATTCTGAAATTTCCTCAGTTACATTTTCTGCAGATAGCAAATATCTAGCTACAGCTTCCTTTAACAGTCTTTGTATAATTTGGGATGTAGATAAAGGATTTTAACTTCTTCATTCAATTAATGCACATGGTTAAAAAAAAATTTTCTCAGTTGCTTTTTCTTTTGATGGTAAATTAATTGCAACAGGTTCTGAAGATTAAACTTGCAAAGTATGGAGCATCGAAGCTGGATTTAAATTAATAAAAACTCTTTAGGGACATATTTTTTAGATTTTTTAAGTGGCTTTTTCTCCAAATGGTAAATATCTTGCAACTTGCTCTTAAGATAGTACCTTTAAGATCTGGAATGTAGAAAAAGGATATGAACTTATAGACACAATTAAAGCACATTCTAATTTTGTTTACTCCGTTGTATTTTCTGCAAATAGTAAATATCTTGCATCATCTTCAAATGATGCGACATGCAAGATTTGGAATGTGGAAAATGGATTCTAACTTGTTAATGTCATCCAAAAACATACAATTTGTATTTATTCAGCTGCTTTTAGTCAAGATGCAAAGTAGCTCATAACAGGCTCTGGTGATACCACTTTTAAGATTTGGAATTTAGAAAAAGGATTTGAGCTCATAAAAATGGATGAGAAGCACACTTATGTAATTTCCTCAGTTGCCTTTTCCCCAGATGGTAAGCTTCTCGCAACTGCAGATAATAACTTTTTCAAAATATGGAGTACAGAAAGAGGATTTGAGCTTATAAATAAGATTGAAGCCTATAAATTATCAATTAAATATCTTGCTTTCTCTCAAGATGGTAAATATTTAGTAACTTATTCAAATAGTTAAACTATTAAAATCTGGAGCGTAGAATAAGGATTTAAATTTCTACATAACATTTAAGGAAGCGCAAGATTAATTACATCGATTGCTATTTCCCCAAATAGCATGCTTCTTGCTGCAAGTTCAATTGATTAAACTTTCAAAATATGGAGCACTTAAAATGAATTTTAACTTATTACTACAATTGAAGCATTTGTTAATTTCACTTCATAATTATATTTTTCATCAGACAGTTAATATCTAGCCGTATCATATAATAATATTTGTAACATATTTAATGCAAAGGGATAATTTGAGCTAATACATACTATTTAAGCACATAGCTCTTAGATCAAATCAATCACTTTTTCTTAAGATGGCAAATATCTTGCAACTTGTTCATCTGATACAACTTGCAAAATCTGGAATATAAAAGAGGAATATAATCTCGTCAACACGATACAAGGACATGCTTAAACAATTAACTATATTGCTTTTTCTGCAGATAGCAAATATCTTGCTACGACTGACGACACAACTTGCAAAATCTGGAATGCAGAAAATGGATTTTCACTCATAAGTATATATAATGGTAATGATTAAAGTATTTTATCAATTGCATTTTCTTCCGATAACAAGTATTTAGCAATAGGTTCTGATGATAAAACTTGTAGAATATTGAATGTTCAAAAGGAGTTTGAAATAATGAATTTAAATGAATTAGAGGATAGCGAAATTAAATCAGCTGCTGTTTCTTAGCTTAATAGTTAACAAAATAACAGTCTTTTAGATAAATTAGCTAAAAATAATAAAATTTTCTAATAAATTTATTGCCTTTGATTAAAAATTTTAAAATAAATAATTTATATAAAAAATTCAATTGATAAAATTATATTTTTTTATCTTTTTTTATATGTCTTATTAGTATAATTTACATTTTTATGTAAATTTTGAACTTCTTTTTATGAAATCAGGTTTTATTTTTATTAAAATCACAAAATATTATAAAATAAATAAATAATTTAAAGCTAATGAAAAATTTTAAATCTAAAAAATTTTATTTCATGAAAAAATAAACTTATCATCACTTTTTTCTTTTTTGAAATCTTCATAAAAATATTTTTTATTAAATTAAATTTTTTTATTTTTAATAAATTCTTTATTGACTTACAAAAATATAATACTTATAAATATAAAAACAATAATAAAAGCTATCTATCTATTTATATTTTAAGCATTTAATATTTGTTCATCATATTTTAGCCACTTGATTATCATTAGAATTTAAAGAAAACTAATCTTTTTGATTTATGGCACTTGTTTATTAAATTGAATACTTATGATTAATTCAATAAGGTATTACTTTTATAATAAATTTGTGTAAATTTTAAATAGAATAAACTATTAAATTAAAAATTATTTCTTAAATTAATTAATAAAATCAAATTACTGGAATAAAAAAGATAAAAAAATTAATCAAATAAATTTATTTATATTCATTTAAATAATTAAAAATATCACAATCCAAAACAAATAAACTGTTTTTACCTTGTATCAAGTGTCAAATTTGAGAGATTAATGCAATTTGCTAAACCAGAACCTAAGCCTGATGCACCTATTGCACCAATTTTATTGCCACTTTTTAAAAATTGAAGAAAAAATATATAATTAAATAGTTAATTAGAAGGAAAAATTGAAGATAAAATAATAAAAGTAAAATTAAAAATAAAAATAAAAAGATTAATTAAATTAACAAAGAAAGATCAAAAAAAAGCAAGCATACGAAAAAAGAACTTTATTGCTTTAAATTAATTTTTTAATTAAAAATATCACAATTAAAAATAAATAAAATGTTTTTACCTAATGCTAAGTGTCAAATTTGAGAGATTAATGCAATTTGCTAATCCAGAACCTAAGCCTGATGCACCTTCGCCACCAATTTAATTGGTACTTTTTAAATGTTTAAGAAAAAATAAATAATTATAGAGTTAATTAGAACAAAAAAATGAAAAAAAATATATTAAATAATAAGATTAATCAATAATAAATGCAAAGAGTGAAAATATAATGATAAGTTAAATTAACAAAGAAAGAAAGAAAGAACAAAAAAAAGCAAGCAAAGTAAAAAGAAAAAGAAAAAAGAACTTTATTATTTTAAATTAGTTTTTATAATTAAAAATAAAGAAACAGTTTTTTACTAAAGTTGAAGAGTTAAATTTGAGAGATTAATGCAATTTGCTAATCCAGAACCTAAGCCTGATACCCCTTCATTACCAATTTTATTATAAAAAAACTTTTTTTGTCCAAAATCTATTAAAAAAGGGAGGGGTGTAAAAATGAACCTAGCAGGCGTGGCAGGCGTGGCATGCTTGTGCTTAGTGAACTTAGTGAACTTAGACTGTAAAATATGAAATTTCTTAAATTCATATGTAAAGCATATAAAAAGAAAAAGAAAAAATAAAAACACTTAATAAATACATAATAATATAAAGAAAAATATATAAAAAATTATAATGAAAAAAATAAAATAAAATAAAATATAATTAATTTTAAGATGTATTCTGAGTGCATTTATATGTGCGAGTATTTCTATTCTATTCTATCACCAATTTAATTCAACCTTTTAAATATTGAAAAATATTTATAATTAAATAGTAAATTAGAAGGAAAAAATTAAGAAAAAATAAAATATGAAAAAATAAGATAAATTAATTAATAATAAATGCAAAAGTTGAAAATAAAATGATGAGCTAAATATCAAAGAAAGAACAAAAAAAAAAGTAAGCACAATAAATAGAAAAAAGGGCTTTATTGTTTTAAATTAGTTTTTATAATTAAAAATATCACAATCAAAAATAAATAAACTGTTTTTACTCAAGATAAAGTCTCAAATTTGAAAGATTAGTACATTTTGCTAAACCAGAACCTAAGCCTGATGCACCCATTGCACAAATTTAATTATAACTTTTTAAATATTGAAGAAAAATATATATTTAAATTTTTAATTAGAAAGTAAAAATAGAGAAAAAATATGAAATAAGTTGTTAAATTAACAAAGAAAAAACAAAAAAAAGCAAGCACAATAAAAAGAAAAAGATAAAAGAGCTTCTTATTAAAAATATCACAATCAAAAATAAATAAACTGTTTTAACTTAAGATTAAGTGTCAAATTTGAGAGATTAATGCAATTTGCTAAAGCAGAACCTAAATCTGATGTACCTTCATCGCTAATTTAATTTTCACTTTATAAATATTGAAGAAAAAATATATGATTAATTAGTTAATTAGAAGGAAAAAAAGAAAAAATATGAAATAATAGGATTAATTAATAGAAAAAGGAAAAGTTGAAAATTAATTGATAAATAAAATTAACAAAGAAAGAACAAAAAAAAGCAAGCACAACAAAAATAAAAAGAAAAAGAGCTATATTGTTTTAAATTAGTTTTTATAATTAAAAATATCACAATCAAAAATAAATTAACTGTTTTTACCTAAGGTCAAGTGTCAAATTTGAGAGATTAATGCAGTTAGCTAACCCAGAACTTAAGCCTGATGCACTTTCACCACCAATAAAATTGATACTTTTTAAATATTGAAGAAGAAAAATAAATTAAATAATTAATTAAAATAAAAAAAAGAAAATATATGAAATAATAAGATTAATTAATAGAAAAAGGAAAAGTTGAAAATAAAATGATGAGTTGTTAAATTAACAAAGAAAGGACAAAGAAAAAGCAAGCACAATTAAAAGAAAAAAGAACTTAATTGTTTTAAATATCTTTTAAAAATTAAAAATATCATAATCAATAATAAATAAACTGTTTTTACCTAAGGTCAAGTGTCAAATTTGAGAGATTAATGCACTTTGCTAATCCAGAACCTAAGCCTGATGTACCTTCATCACCAATAAAATTGTTACTTTTTAAATATTGAAGAATAAATATTTAATTAAATAATTAATTAGAAGGAAAAAATATAAAATAATAAGATTAATTAAATAATAATAAAAAGAAAAGTTTAAAATAAAATGTTGAGTTAAATTAAAAAAGAGATACAAAAAAAGCAAGTACAATAAAAAAAAAAAGAAATAAGAGCTTTATTATTTTAAATTAGTTTTTATAATTAAAAATATCACAATCCAAAATAAATAAACTGTTTTTACCTAAGTATAAGTATCAAACTTGAGAGATTAATGCAATTTGCTAAACCAGAACCTAAGCCTAATGTACCTTCATTGCTAATTTAATTGTAACTTTTTAAATATTGAAGAAAAATATATAATTAATTAGTTAATTTGAAGGAAAAAAAGAAAAAATAAATATGAAATAATAAGATAGATTAATTAATAATAAAAGGAAAAGTTGAAAATAAAATGATGAATTAAATTAAGAAAGAAAGAAGATAAAAAAACAAGCACAATTAAAAGAAAAACAAAAAAGAGTTATATTGTTTTAAATTAGTTTTTATAATTAAAAATAGAACAATCAAAAATAAATAAACTGTTTTTACTGAAGATCAAGTGTCAAATTTGAGAGATTAATGCAATTTGATAAACAATAACCTAAGCTTGATGCATCTTCATCACCAATTTTATTATTCCTTTTTAAATATTGAATAAAAAATATATAATTAAATAGTAAATTAGAAGGAAAAATGAAGAAAAAATATGAAATAATAAGATTATAATTAGTTAAATTAACAAAGAATGAAAAAAAAGTTAACACAGTAAAATGAAAAAGGAAAATAAATAAAATAAATTAAAAGAGCTTTATGGTTTTAAATTAACTTTTATAGTTAAAAACATTACAATCCTAAACAAATACTGTTTTTATTAATTGTAAGTTTTAATCACAAAAAATGAAGAAAAAATATCAAATAACAAAAAATAAATGATAAATAATTAAAAATTGAAATTAAAATTAAGTTAAAATAGCTAAAAAATTTTTGTTTTAATAAAAATCAATGAATAATGATGATAATTTCTACAAGAAAAATTATTGATTTAAATAAATTGAAAGTTAAATATGTAAAAATTATTAATAATAATAATAATTATATTTCTTAATAAAATATACGCCAGATTAATATGGAGAACCTAATGAGATAAAAGTGAAGAGTCTAAAAACTTTTTTTATCATTAAAAATAAATTTAAAGGATATTAATAAAAAAATAAATAATTACAAGTTTTAACTCTTAATATTCTTTAATCTATTATATCATTTATTTTTTTTTTAAAATATTGAACAGCAAATTATAAAATCTAATTAATTATAAATGGATAAAAAGAACAAATAAAATAGAATAATCAATCATCAAATATTAATTTATAAATTTGCTCTTAAGAAGAGATATAACAGAAAAATTAATTAAAAATTAATTATTTAATCTTAATACTTAATATTTATATGCCGTATATTCTTATAACATATCATTTTTTTTGAAAAAAATAAATTTTGAAAATTTTTTCGAAATAACATATAGTACTCCTGGAGTTTGGGGGGGGGGGGGTTGGTGAGAATTAATGAGGATTTAAGGTATATAAAAAAATATTAGTTATAATATTTTTAATTTAAATATACTTCATATTAATATAGAGAACCTTATGAAATTAAAGTGAAGAGTTAAAAAACTTTTTTTATTAATAAAAAAAATGTAAAGGATATAATAAAAAAATAAATAATTACTTTTTCTAATTCTTCATAATATTTAATATATTTTCTCATTTTTTTTTTCAAGAATATTAAATAAGCAATTTAAGAAACTAATTAATAATAAATGGATAAAAAGAATAAATCAAATTTAATAATTATCAAATAGATATTAATTTATAAATTTGCTTTTATGAAGAGATATCACAAAAAAATTAATTTAGCATTCATTATTTAATCTTAATATTTGTATAAAAAGCAAATACTTAAAAATATTTTAGGAATTAGAGATGTCCAGTTAGTCATATTTGAAAAAATTCTAGTAATTAATATTCTTAATAAGTCCATTTTTCTGTTTTATCCCAGTAATGATGGGAATATTTATAAAATATGTAATTATTATCTAATCCCATTAGTATTTTTGCAAGCACATGTTATTTAAGTATATAGTTTGCATCCACCAAATAAGAGCATTTATACCTACTTAAACCACTGTGAAACTTTTTTTGTAGGAAAATGTTGATATTATTCATCTACAATTATTTTATAGCTTTCTATAATATTTACTTTTTTAATCTTTTAATAATTATAATTACATTTTTTAAATTTCTAATTTTTTTTGTTTTATAATTTTTATACCAAAATATAAATTTCAAGTGCTGTTTTTGGATACTATTCATATTTCTTAACAATATTCAAATTTAGAAAATAATAAATAAATAAATAAATAAATAAATAAATAAATAATTAAATAGAAAGAAATCACTAATCTAAAACAGACTTTTTATTTAAGGATATGCTCTTAAACATTTAAATATTAAAATATTTATATAAAATTAATTATGTATAAATATAATATGTATTAATTAAATAGAATTAGTCATTTAATTTAATACTTATTTATATCTTAAATTTTCTATATAAGAAGAGGAAAATCTGAGTCTATTAACAATTTTATATTGAAGATTAGGTTCTTTTTTAGAGATTAAAAATTAAAGGACTTTTGTTGGAGATCTTCATCTAATAAAATTACTTAAGTAAATCTCTTTAGCTCTGAACTTTTCTCCATAGCAGTAATGTAAATTTCATTTTAAAAGAATTATAATATCCCTAAAATTTTAGAATTGCTTTGAGGAATATTATTTGACATTATCTGAATTTTAACGTAGAACTATTCTTTTTAGCTACTTAAAAAAGATTACATTATTAATTGCGTATAATTATTATCATTTATTTTGGGGTCTTCATTCATTTTTTACTTCTACTTTTAGATTATAGGGAGAAAAGTTTTTAAGATAGAATTAAAAACATTTTTAATAAATTATATAAATTCATTAAAATGATTTATTTATAAGTTTAATTTAAAACTATTTCTTAATAAAATGGAGCACACATTTTAATAATCTGAATGAATAGTTATTTTATTGATATCTGAGATATTAAATCTCTAAATGTATTTATAGCTATGAAGGTCTTAGAGTACAAAAAATGAGTTATATGTAAGGAAGATTATCCTTTTTTTTTTCTCTCCAGAGCTAGATATTTTAGTTGCTAACTCACTAAAAAAATGTTATTTTAGATCATTCGAATTACATGTTTCTTTTTCAAGTATTTATTAAATGAATTTTTCTTAGATTATGTTAACAAAGTCCATGTCTGATTAATAAGATGTGTCTTTAACATCCCTTTATAAATCTTATTAATATAAATAAATTTAGTTAGATAATACACGCAAATGCTTTTTAATATATTTTACTTTAGTTCTTATCAAATGTTTGAGATCTTTTCAATATTGATTTACTGGTTCTTTTTAAATTATTTTAAGAAAACTAATGGTGGTAATCTTTTATAAAAAAAACAATATTAAAAATAAATAGATTAATTCAGTAAGAAATATAGTAGTAGCTTAATTTTTACATTTTAGCTCCCTCGTTTTATTAAAGTAAATATAATAATAACTTAAGAGCTTACTAATGTTTTCAAATGCATCTGATGATTTTAAACACTCATTTAAAAATTTAAACATTTTTTCATAAAATTGATATGAAGAATGTTATTACATTTATTTTTAATACAAAATATAAGTAGTAAAAAATTTTGCTTGTTTAGATTAAAAATTTACTTTTTTAAGAAAGGTCTTCGAAGGTAACCCTTTTATATATAGAGCTCTTCATACTACTATTCATACTGTTCTCACTTTTTTAGCAAATCGAATTATTTAAACTTTTTTTGTTTTAATTTTCACCTTAATCTTCACTTTCTTCTTAATAATCATCAATAAAGCTTTCTTTATTTTACAATATTTATATATTTATTAAAAAAATAAAAAAATTTTGCTTACGTGATTGATTTTTAGGGATTTAAAATAAAAAGCCACTTTGTTTTTAATCTTAATCCAATACTTCAGATTTAAAAATTTAAGAATGGTTTGTTGAGTAATTAGAGATTTTATTGACTAATTTATATTATAAAAAAATTTTACAATCTGAAATATTAAAGTAAGTAATAATTTACTATTACACCTATTTTCCAAGTCATATATTCCTGAGTTGCATGAAAAGTTTTTTATATTTAAGCTATTTATAGAGTTAATTGTTTCTTTAGTATCATCTTCTTCTATGTCAGCGTACGAATCTTCAATATAAATGAATTTTTATAAAACCAAAATTTAATTTATTTTTTTACCTGATAAATCAGATGAGTTCTTTGATTTTAAGGCAATTTCTCTATATTCTCGCTAACATTTACCCTGTATACTAGTATCCATTTAGTATAAAATTGACTCAGTAAGATAGCAGAGACTTTCGGTATTTTGGTAAAGTACTCTTTATAAAAAAATTAAATGATTTAATATGAATAAAATAAACATTCTATTACCTAGAATTTAGTGGGGATGCTTGCGCTTATTCTCTATAAGCTGCATTTTAGTAAAGATGAATATTTATATTTTAGTAATTATCTTTAAAATTGCAGTTTTCAGTCATTTCTCTTTTAGATATTCTTAATATTATGCTTATTTATTATACAAATTAATTAAAATCTAACTAGACATCTAAATTTCTATTTATCTTCATAAATAATTGATCAGTATATATCAAAAAAAAAACTAGCTAGCTAGCTATCCACTTATTAAATCTAATATTATATATTTAAAATAATGTTTATACAGTAAATCAACTTTCAAGAATTTACAATCAAAAACAAATAACTAATTTAAATAAAATTAAAGAAATTAAAAGCAGTAAATTAAATATAATTCAAGTTAATTAATAATTTTTAATAGTTAATTAGCTTTTAAAATAGCAATTCAAATTGAAATTTATTTTATTATTTCTATATTAACTTTGAAAAAGCAAGATTTCATTTATATAAAGATTTTGTTATGAAATTAATTTGTTTTTCATCTTCTATAATTTAATTGATTCTTAATCGAAATTTATCAGATTTTTATTAATACTGTAAATTTATGTTTATTTTTATGTCTAAAAAATATTTTTTTAAAAAGAAATCTTATTTTTTAAGAGAAGTAATCTTTTAAAATAAGAGCTAGTTTTGTCTACTAAATTAGAAGAAATACAGTATGTATATATATATTATAACAATTCTGAGGTCAGACTTATATGATAAATCAAAATTTGAGTAGTAGATAGATATAAAATAAAATTATAATGAAATAATATTTCAATAAGTTGATATATATGAATCTCAATTGAATTTATTATATGATTTGAATTTTTAAGTATATTATTATTTAATTTTATTGATAAAATATGAAAAGTATTTGTCATATCTGAGCTTTACTATGTGCGCTTGGCTTGAATCTATTTAAAATTTAAATATAAATATTATTTTTATTAATCATTTTGACTTAATTCTTCTAAATTAAACTCAATTCATAATATTTCAATTTATTTATTTACTGAATTTGAGTGTAGGACTCTATTTTATACTTATTTAAAGGTGAAGTTAAAACCAATTCAGTGTTTTTATTTTTATTGGTTTTGGCTTATTCTTTTCGTTGTTATTTCCACTCTTACTAAATAGGTAAATAGGTTTCTAAGACACATTTAAAAATGCTTTGAATAAATAAAATAAAAACATTAAAATGTTTAATTTGTAAATTAAGTTAAAAGATATTTTTCACAATGATTGAGCAAATTTTGCTACTCTCAGAATGAATTATTATCTTATTTATATCACAAATATCACATTTTTAAATATGGTTATGACTATAAAGATCTTCTAGAACATAAAAACAATTTAGAGTGATAAAGATGATCTTTTGCTTCTTCTCTCCTGATTTAGATATTTTAGTTACCAGCTCACTGAAAAAATACTTTTTTTATTATGCATATTTAGAAATCTCTTAATCCAGTAAGTCTAAAATAAGTTCTTCATTTTTTATTTTAAAATAGTCCATATCAAGATCGCATGATTAAAAAGTATCCTTTTTCTATTATTTTCTTTCTTAATAAATGAGTAAAAAATAGATAAAATTCATGATTTTTATGTGATATAATTACCTGTATTAAATTAAAGGGATTATGGTTTTTTCAGTATTGGTTTATTAGCTTTTTTAGAATCATCTAACTATAGTTAGATTCTAAACACTTTTTATTATTGTAGTTTGATTAATTTAGAATTGGAATAGATCAAATTTTATAAGTTAATTATTTACCTGAGTTAGTAAATTTTGCTTCTAATTTACTTTGTTGGAGCAAGAGTGATTAATTTTCTTTGCAATTCTAAAATTTGTCTAATTTATTAAATTTAAATGATCTAATTAATTTTTGTCGAAAAGTTATAGAAAAAAGTGAATTTTAAGTGTGAGAATTAAAAGTTTTTAAATTTATTGAAATTGACAAATTCATGTAGTACAACATTAGCTTCAAATATCAAATAAGTGTTTTATTTAATTAATTCTTTATAACAAATAAGAAAGCTATTTCATTCAATCACTTTATTAATTTAATAAATACCTTAAAATATTAAATCTTGAAAGGTAACTCTCTTTGATAGTGATTTTTGTACGTTATGGATTCCGCTTTACTATATAGCTAGATATGTCGAGTCCTTAAAAGAGTTTTTATTTTCATCTTCATTATCGTCAAAAAAGCATCCTTATTTTTAAATAAGACAGATTTTTATTAATTGTTTAAAGCAATTTACTGGACTTATCTAAAGGTAAATCTAGAAAGAAATTTTTTTCTTTTTGATTTAAATCTGTTCCATTAGATTCATAGATTTAATTTGAGTTGGCTGATTAAATTGATGTTTAGTTAACTTTAATTAAAAATATTACTTACAGATTTTAAAAGAAACTAAAATAAACTAAATACTTTTCTAAGAAGATTACGCAGAATTAAAAATATTTTAGTATTTTATATCTTCATTCTATATTTCAGAAATAGGAATCAAGCTTTAAATGATAAAGCTGTTTCTAGAATTAAAAGTTTCGTAAGATTCATGGCTATTAATATTTGTTTTTGAATCATCTATTTATTACAATTTTGCTATTAATTTTTACAACACCAATTTTTTTATTTATGATTTTACCACTCAGGGTGGAGCATTAATCAGATTATAGAATAAGTTTTCTACTTTAATAGCCGCTTATTTTTCTGTGATCTGCTTTCATTTTGCTAAATATTGAATCAAGTTTTTGAGAAAGAGATTATTTAACAGAGTCACATAAAGTTCTTTTATAACATAAGATGTTTGTAAAACAAAAATGATAATAGATACTTCTAATGTTATTAATCTACTTACATAGATTGTGAATAGTCTTTTTTTTCTTCAATAGAGTTTTACTAACAGGGGAGAATTATTTTAGTTTAAAAGTATGTTTGAATCTCGCAACTACAATACATTTATTTTTTCATTTTAGGCTTTATATTTGTTTTAATTACTTTTTTGTTATAAAATCTATTATATTTCATGGTCATTGAAATAACTACTAAATTTCAGGAGAAGATTAATAAATCACCTAAATATAAAATAAAAATTTGAAGATGGTTTCTTCAATTTTTAAACAGAACAATTTTTGTTCAAGTAAATAGCTAATAAAATTAAATTCAAAATTTAAACTTTTGATTATTTACAAAATTCAGTCAGTCAGTCAGTGTATTTATTATATTTTATGATCAACTTTTTTAAATTATTCATACAATCTTTAATATTTGAGCAGCATATTTTTGCGTTTAAAAACCAATCTTTAATTTTATTCTTAAGACCTTAAATTTTTTCCCCTTGCTCATAATTAACTTACTTAAGCCTGTCAAAATTAAATCATTAGTAGCTTAAAAAATTTTGGCAATAATTATATGCAAAAAATATTAACACTAGCTTAAATACTTGAAAATATAATTTAAATTGTACTAAAGAAACTTACACTACTATTTTTACTATTTTATATCTATTTTTAGTACTCCATAAATACAAAATAGCTACAATTTGTTTAATAAAAAAATTTATCCAATAGATTCTTACGTTTTTCTTTTACTATTAATTTGTTGTAAAACCTTTTCTATTAAAATTATAACCCACCATCAGTATACATGTGATGTAAATTTAATTTAATATTCTTCATTTAATAATAAACAAAAAAACCTGATAATCAAACATTTAATAATCATTTATAATTTATTTGATTGTTGATTAATATTTCAAACCATGAATGAATCATATTATTTTAGTTTTGTTTTTCATTTTTAATAAAATTAAGTCACACTATCATTTTAAATATATATATAATCATTTCAAAATATTAAAATTTTCTTTATCCAAATAATAAAATAAGAGTTAATAAATTTATCGCAGTAGCTAAACATTAAAAAATTATTAATTAATACTCATATTATAAATTTCTTTACTACTTACAAACATATAAAATATATAGTATATGAATTATGCAACATAAATAATTTATATATAATAATTATTTATTATACACTACCCATAATCCATATTTATTTGACACTCACTAAACAAAAATATTTAATTAAAAAATCCATAAAATTTTAAAATAAACAAATTATTTTAATTTAGAAATTTATTATAGAAATATGAATAAACATGATATATATTAAATAAGAATCTATCATTTAATTAAATTATTTTTTATATCTTATATTTTCTTTACAAAAATAGGAAAATCTGAGTCTACTAATAATTTTATATGGAAGATTAGGTCTGGATTTCTTATTGATTAAAAAATAAAGTATTATTATTCTAGATTTTCATTTAATAATACTACTTATGTAAATCTCTTTAATTCTTAACACTTCTCCAAACCAGTAATTTAAATTTCATTTTAAAAGAATTATAGTAGTCCTAAAATTATAGAATCACTTTGCGAATTATTATTTGATATAATCTCAATTTTAATGTAAAATTATTCTTTTTAGCTGCTTAAAAAAGATTATTTTTTTTATTATGCGCTATTCTTATCATTAATTTTGGGTTCTTCATTCGTTTTTTACTTCTACTTATAGATTATTGGAAGAAAAGTTTTTAAGACACAATTAAAAATACTTTGAATAAATTTTATAAATTCATTAAAATGATTTATTTATAAGTTTAATAAAAAGCTATTTCTTAATATGATAGAGCACACATTTCTATAATCTGAATGAATTATTATTTTATTGATATCTGAGATATTAAATCTCTAAACGTGTTTATAGCTACAAAGGTCTTAGAGTACAAAAAAAGAGTTATGTGTAAGGAAAATTATCCTTTTTTTCTTCTCACCAGAACTAGATATTTTAGTTGCTAACTCACTAAAAAAGTATTAATTTAGATCATTTGAATTACAGATCTCTTTTTCAAGTATCTATTAAATGAGTTTTTCTTGGATTATGTTACCAAAATCCATGTCTGATTAATAAAATTTGTCTTTAACATCCCTTTATTAAACTAATTAGTATAAATAAATTTAGATATTTTACTCAAATTCTTTTTAAAATTTTTTACTTTAGTTCTGATCCAATCTTTGAAATCCTTTCAATATTGATTTACTAGTTCTTTTTAAATTCTCTTAAGAATATTAATCTAGATAATCTTTTTAAAAAAATCAATTAATAAGATGAGATTTTAAAAATAATTCAGTATGAGTAAGGAAATAAATTGATTACGTAATTTTTTGATTTTATCAACCTAATTTTATTGAAGTAAATATAATAATTTCTTAAAATCTTCTTCATTGCTTTCACATGCATCTAAAAATTAAAAAAAATTTATTCAAAAATAATGTAAATATATATGATTTTGTAGTGAAAATTAATATAGAACAATAATATTTATTTATTCATTTAACTTCAATGAAAAATATAAGAAGAAAAAAACTTTGCTAGTTAAGATTAAAAATTTACTTTTTTAATTAAGGTCTTAGAAGGTAACAGTATTATTTAAAGAACTTTTTATACTACTCATCGTGCTTTTCTCAGTTTTTTAATAATTCGAATTATCTAAACTTTTTTTGCTTTAATTTTCATCTTAATCATAACTTTCTTCTTCCTTATCATCAATAAAGTTTTCTTTTTTTATAATATTTTTATGATAAGAAAATATAAAATTATTTTGCTTAAATAATTGATTTTTAGTGATTTAAAATAAAAAGCTACTTTTTTTTTAATCTGAATCCAATTCTTTAGATTTTAAAATTTGAGAATGGATTGTTGTGTAATTAGATGTTTAATTGGCTAATTATAAAAATCTTACAATCTAAAATACTAACTAAAGTAATAATTTACTGTTACACTTATTTTCGGTATCGTAGATTCCTGAATTGTATGAAAAGTTTTTTATTTTTAAGCTATTTATAGAGTTAATTGTTTCTTTAGTATCATCATCTTCTACTTCTATGTCAGCATACGAATCTTCAATTTTAATGAATTTTTATAAATTCTAAATTTAATTTATTGTTTTACCTGCTAAATTAAATGAGTTCTTTTATTTTAAATCAGTCTCTGTATTTTTTAGCTAGCATTTAACAAAAATACTAGTAGTATCTATTTTATATTAGATTGAATCATGATATTTTGTAAGACAAAAGAGGCTCTCTGTATTTTGGTTAATTATTCTTTATTATAAGAGGTTAGTTAAATCATCTGATATAAATATCATAAATATTATATTACTTAGAGTTTTGAGGGGATACCTAAGCTTACTCTGTTTAAGCAGCAATTTAGGAAAGATAAGTGTTTTTATTTAGGCAATTTTCTTTGAAATTGTAGTTTTCAGTCATTTATTTTTTTCTTTCTTAATTTTTGCTTATTTATTTTACAAATTAATTAAAGTCTAATTGGAGATCTAAGTTGCTTTTTATCATATAAATAGCTGATCAATTTATCAAAAAAAATAATAACCAGCTAGCTAGCTATTCACTTATTAAAATCTAATACGAAACATCATTTAAAAAAAATGCTAATGCAGCAAATAATATTCACTTATTAAAATCTTATAAGAAACACCATTAAAAAAATGTTTATCAAATAAATTTTCTAGAAATTGGAATTGTACTTTATTACTAATTCAGAATAAAATTAATTATCTTCTTAATTTTTTTATTCCTCTAGCTGAGTATTTTGTAATTATTTTAAAAATTTTTTTTCTTATTTTTTTGCTCAAAATCTTTTATTTTTATTCCCTCTTTTTCTGTTTTTATTTTCTCTCTTTTTGACTCACAATTTTCGTAGTAGAAAAAGGGGATATATTTTTAAAAATAATTTTGTTATTTTCTTAATAAAAAAATTAAGGAAATCTTATATTTTTGATATTAAATTGAAACAATATTCATTGGTTTACTACAAATTGCTTAAATAAATAAATATATAAATTATAATAATTTTGAAATTAGATTTAAATGATAAATAAAAATTTTAGTAGTAGATATAAAATAATAAAATACATGAAATAATATTTAAATAATTTGATAAATATATATAAATTTCTATTGAATCTATCATTTGATTTCAATTTGTAAATATATAATACTTTAATTTAATTGATAAAATATGTAAAAATTTGTCATATCAGAGCTCTACTAGTTGTGCTTAACTAGAATATATTAGATATTTAAAGAAAAATATCATTTTTATTTGTATTTTTTATTTAATTATACTTAATTGAGTGGGTCTATTCAATTCATGACATTTCTAACTATTTACTGAATTTGAATTTAGTACTCTTTATTTATTTATTTATTTATTTATTTATTTATTTATTTATTTATTTAAAAGTGAAGCTAAGACCAATTCAGTGTTTTTATTTTTACTGGTTTTAGCTTATACTATGAAGATTATTTCCACTCTTACTTAATAGGTAAATATATTTTAAGGCTCGTTTAAAAATGTTTTGAATAAATTAAATAAATCCCATAAAATTTATTTTAGTTTGTAAAGTAAAAATATATTTCTCACAATAATTGTGCAAATATTGCTTCTCTCAGAATGAATTATTATCTTTTATGTCAGAAATATAAAATTTTTAAATATGGTTATGACTCTAAAGATCTTCTAGCACATAAATAAAATTTTGTGTAATAAAGATGAACTTTTATTTCTTCTCTTTTGAATAAGATATTTTAAAATATACTTTTTTAATACCTTAATTTCAAATTTCTTTATCAAGTAAGGCTAAAATAAGTTATTAATTTTTTATATTAAAATAGATTCTAAAAATAGTAAAAATTAAGCATATGATTTTTTGAAAACTAAAAAGAGCAGCTAGGGTATTTATTTAAAATTGAAAAGTAAAATAGAGGAATATATATTTGCAAATGTTAACATAATTACAAATTATGAAGAGTAAAAAATGAATTCTGATAATTTTTCTTAGCTTTTTATTTTTTAATCAATCATTTTTTAAGATAAAAAGGATTGCTTTATAAAAATTCCTAGGAGTATTTTTTGTTTTTAGAATCAGAATCAAGAGATTATCAAAAATTATTTTATCAAAACTTACTAGGATTTCAAAATCCTAGTAAAAATAGTCTAGAAAGAAAAACAACAGAGGTTAAAATAAAAAGTATAATTTGATTTCTCCCTAAAGTTTTAACCCCTCAGATTCCTTAATATAGTTAATAAATACTATTTAAGATTAAAATCAAACTGTAATATAAAAGCTTGTCATTTTATATTATTTAATAAGATATAATATGACACTAAAATTTCAAATGATTTGATCATTTTTTTATTATTTATAAACTATTTACTAACTTACAAAAATATGAAAGATATTTATAAATCTAAAAACAATAATAAAAACTATCTATCTATCTATTTATGTATCTATATTTTAGGTTAAAAAAATTTTTTCAAAACATTAAATAATAAAACATATAATATTCAATTATTCAAGCATTTAATATTTATTCATCATTTTTGGCCTCTTGTTTATCACTAGAAATATAACATATAGTCAACTAATCTTTTTGATTTAAGACACTTACTTATTACTTTAAATGAGTAAAAATAATTCATTTCGTTTCCACTTTTAATATAAATTAGTGTTAATTTTTAAAAAATATTAAATAAAATAAACTTTTAAATTAAAAATTATTTCTTAAATTAGTAATTAAATAAATAAAATAACATTAGTGAAATAAAAAAGATTAAAAAAATAAATCAAATAAAAGATAACAAATAAATTCAAGGAAATTTTTAGTTTAATATTCATTTTTATAGTTAAAAATATCACAATCCAAAATAAATAAACTGTTTTTACCAAAGATCAAGTGTCAAATTTTAGAGATTCATACACTTTGCTAAAGCAGAACTTAAGCCTGATGCACCTTCGTCACCAATTTAATTTCCACTTTTAAATATTGAAGAAAAAATATATAATTAAATAGTAAATTAGAAGGAAAAAATTAAGAAAAAACATGAAATAATAAGATTAATTAATTAATAATAAAAGATAAAGTTGAAAATAAAATGATGAGTTAAATTAACAAAGAAAGAAAGAAGATAAAAAGGTATGCAGAATAAAAAGAAAAAGAAAAATGAGCTTTTATTGTTTCAAATTAGTTTTTATAATTAAAAATATCACAATCCAAAACAAATAAACTGTTTTTACTCAAGGTTAAGATTCAATCTTGAAAGATTAATGCAATTTGCTAAACCAGAACCTAAGCCTGATGCACCTTCGACACCAATTTCATTGAACCTTTTTAAATATTGAAGAAAAAATTTATAACTTAATAGTAAATTAGAAGGAAAAAATGAAGAAAAAGCATGAAATAATAAGATTAATTAATTAATAATAAAAAATAAAGTTGAAAATAAAATGATAGGTTAAATTAAGAAAGAAAGAAAGAAAGAAAGAAGATAAAAAGGCATGCAGAATAAAAAGAAAAATGAGATTTTATTGTTTTAAATTAGTTTTTATAATTAAAAATATCACAATCTAAAACAAATAAACTTCTTTTACTTAAGATAAAGTGCCAAATTTGATAGATTAATGTAATTTACTAAAGTAGAGCCTAAGCCTAATGCACCTTCGTCACCAATTTTATTGTCACTTTTTAAATATTGAAGAAAAAATATATAATTTAATAGTAAATTAGAAGGAAAAAATGAAGAATTAGCATGAAATATAAGATTAATTTATAATAAAAGCTAAAGTTGAAAATAAACTAATGAGTTAAATTAACAAAGAAAGAAAGAACATAAAAAAGCATGCAGATTAAAAAGAAGAAAACAAATGAGTTTTTATTGTTTTAAATTAGTTTTTATAATTAAAAATATCACAATCCAAAACAAATAAACTGTTTTTACCAAAGATCAAGTGTCAAATTTGAGAGATTCATACACTTTGCTAAAGCAGAACCTAAGCCTGATGCACCTTCTTTACCAATTTGATTGCCACTTTTTAAATATCGAAGAAAAAATATATAATTAAATAGTTAATTAGAAGGAAATAAAGAAGAAAAAATATGAAAAAATAAATAGGATTAATTAATAATAAAAGCTAAAGTTGAAAATAAAATGATGAGTTAAATTAACAAAGAAAGAAAGAAGATAAAAAATAATGCAGAATAAAAAGAAAAAGAAAAATGAGCTTTTATTTTAAATTAGTTTTTATAATTTAAAGTATCACAATCCAAAACAAATAAACTGTTTTTACTAAAGTATAAGATTCAATCTTGAAAGATTAATGCAATTTGCTAAACCAGAACCTAAGCCTGATGCACCTTAGCCACCAATTTCATTGAACCTTTTTAAATATTGAAGAAAAAATATATAATTAAATAGTAAATTAGAAGAAAAAAATGAAGAAAAAATATGAAAAAATAAGATTAATTTATAATAAAAGCTAAGTTGGAAATAAAATGGTGAGTTAAATTAACAAAGAAAGAAAGAAAGAAAGAAGATAAAAAGGTATACAGAATAAAAAGAAAAAGAAAAATGAGCTTTTATTGTTTTAAATTAGTTTTTATAATTAAAAATATCACAATCCAAAACAAAAAACTGTTTTTACGTAAGGGATAGTGTCAAATTTGAGAGATTAAAGCACTTTGCTAAAGCAGAACCTAAGTCTGATGCACCTTCGTCACCAATTTAATTTCGACTTTTAAATATTGAAGAGTAAATATATAATTTAATAGTAAATTAGAAGGAAAAAATGAAGAAAAAGCACGAAATAATAAATAAGATTAATTAATTAATAATAAAAGGTAAAGTTCAAAATAAAATGATGAGTTATATTAACAAAGAAAGAAATAAAGAAAGAAGATTAAAAACCATGCACAATAAAAAGAAAAATGAGCTTTTATTGTTTTAAATTATTTTTTGTAATTAAAATATCACAATCCAAAAAAAATAAACTGTTTTTACAAAAATGAAAGTGTCAAATTTTAGAGATTAATGCAATTTGCTAAAGCAGAACCTAAGCCTAATGCACCTTCGCCATCAAATTTATTGTCACTTTTTAAATATTGAAGAAAAAATATATAATTAAATAGTAAATTTGAAGGAAAAAATTAAGAAAAAGCATGAAATAATAAATAAGATTAATTAATTAATAATAAAAGATAAAGTTGAAAATAAAATGATGATTTAAATTAACAAACAAATAACAAAAAAAGCAAGCACAATAAAAAATAAGAAAAATGAGCTTTTATTGCTTTAAATTAGTTTTTATAATTAAAAATATCAAAATCCAAAACAAATAAACTGTTTTTACGTTAGATCAAGTGTCAAATTTGAAAGATTAATGCAATTTGCTAAAGCAGAACCTAAGCTTGATGCACCTTCCTCACCAATTTAATGATAACTTTTTAAATATTCAAGAAAAAATATATAATTTAATAGTAAATTTGAAAAAAAAATAAAGAAAAAGCATGAAATAATAAATAAGATTAATTATTAAAGCTAAAGTTGAAAACAAAATGATGAGTTAAATTAACAAAGAAAGATTATTAAAAATATCAATAAAAAGAAAAATGAGCTTTTATTGTTTTAAATTAGTTTTTATAATTAAAAATATCACAATCCAAAACAAATAAACTGTTTTTACGAAAGGGATAGTGTCAAATTTGAGAGATTAATGCAATTTGCTAAAGCAGAACCTAAGCCTGATGCACCTTCGTCACTAATTTAATTTTGACTTTTAAATATTGAAGAAAAAATATATAATTAAATAGTAAATTAGAAGGAAAAAATGAAGAAAAAGCATTTGATAATAAATAAGATTAATTAATTAATAATAAAAGATAAAGTTGAAAATAAAATGATGAGTTAAATTAACAAAGAAAGAAAGAAGATAAAAAGGTATGCAGAATAATAAGAAAAAGAAAAAGAAAAACGAGCTTTTATTGTTTCAAATTAGTTTTTATAATTAAAAATATCACAATCCAAAACAAATAAACTGTTTTTACTCAAGGTTAAGATTCAATCTTGAAAGATTAATGCAATTTGCTAAACCAGAACCTAAGCCTGATGCACCTTCGTCACCAATTTTATTGCCACTTTTTAAAAATTGAAGAAAAAATTTATAACTAAATAGTAAATTAGAAGGAAAAAATGAAGAAAAAGCATTTGATAATAAATAAGATTAATGAATTAATAATAAAAGCTAAATTTGAAAATAAAATGGTGACTTAAATTTACAAAGAAAGAAAGAAAGAAGATAAAAATGCATGCAGAATAAAAAGAAAAAGAAAAATGAGCTTTTATTGTTTTAAATTAGTTTTTACAATTAAAAATATCACAATCCAAAACAAATAATCTTCTTTTACTAAAGATAAAGTGCCAAATTTGAAAGATTAATGCAATTTGCTAAAGCAGAACCTAAGCCTGATGCACCTTCGTCACCAATTTTATTATACCTTTTTAAATATTGAAGAATAAATATATAATTTAATAGTAAATTAGAAGGAAAAAATGAAGAAAAAGCATGTAATAATAAATAAGATTAATGAATTAATAATAAAAGCTAAAGTTGAAAATAAAATGATGACTTAAATTTACAAAGAAAGAAAGAAAGAAAGAAAGAAGATAAAAATGCATGCAGAATAAAAAGAAAAAGAAAAATGAGCTTTTATTGTTTTAAATTAGTTTTTATAATTAAGAATATCACAATCCAAAATAAATAAACTGTTTTTACCTAAGATCAAGTTTCAAATTTGAAAGATTAATGCTATTTGATAAAGCAGAACCTAAGCCTGATGCACCTTCGCCACCAATTTCATTATACCTTTTTAAATATTGAAGAAAAAATATATAATTTAATAGTAAATTAGAAGGAAAAAATGAAGAAAAAATATGAAATAATAAATAAGATTAATTTATAATAAAAGCTTAAGTTGGAAATAAAATGGTGCGTTAAATTAACAAAGAAAGAAAGAAGATAAAAAATCATTCAGAATAAAAAGAAAAAGAAAAATGAGCTTTTATTGTTTTAAATTAGTTTTTATAATTAAAAATATCACAATCTAATTAATACAAATAAAACGTTTTTACCCAAGGTAAAGTCTCAAATTTGAGAGATTAATGCACTTTACCAAAGCATAACCTAAGCCTGATAAACCTTCTTCACCAATTTTATTCTCACTTTTTAAATATTCAAGAAAAAATATATAATTAAAAAGTAAATTAATATGAAAAAATAAGATTAATTAATAATAAAAGCTAAAGTTGGAAATAAAATGGTGAGTTAAATTAACAAAGAAAGAAGATAAAAAGGTATGCAGAATAAAAAGAAAAAGGGAAATGAGCTTTTATTGTTTCAAATTAGTTTTTATAATTAAAAATATCACAATCTAAAATAAATAAACTATTTTTACCTAAGATCAAGTGTCAAATTTGAAAGATTAATGCATTTTGCTAAAGCAGAACCTAAGCCTGATGCACCTTCGCCACCAATTTAATTTCGACTTTTAAATATTGAAGAAAAAATAAATAACTTAATAGTTAATTAGAAGGAAAAAATGAAGAAAAAGCATGAAATAATAAATAAGATTAATTAATTAATAATAAAAACTAAAGTTGAAAATAAAATGATGACTTAAATTAAGAAAGAAAGAAAGAAAGAAAGAAAGAAAGAAAGAAAAAAGATAAAAAGGCATGCAGAATAAAAAGAAAAAAAAATGAGCTTTTATTGTTTTAAATTAGTTTTTATAATTAAAAATATCATAATCCAAAACAAATAAACTGTTTTTACATAAGATTAAGTGTTAAATTTGAGAGATTAAAGCACTTTGCTAAAGTAGAACCTAAACCTGATGCACCTTCGTCATCAATTAAATTTTGACTTTTAAATATTGAAGAAAAAATATATCATTAAATAGTAAATTTGAAGGAAAAAATTAAGAAAAAATATGAAAAATAAGATTAATTTATAATAAATGATAAAGTTGGAAATAAAATGATGAGTTAAATTAACAAAGAAAGAAAGAAAATGAAAAATCATGAACAATAAAAAAAGAAAAATGAACTCTTATTGTTTTAAATTAGTTTTTATAATTAAAAATATTATAATTTAAAATAAATAAATAAACTGTTTTTACTCAAGGTTAAGTTTCAAATTTGAAAGATTAATGCAATTTGCTAAAGCAGAACCTAAGTTTAATACGCCAATTGTACCAATTCTATTGCGACTTTTTAAATATTAAAGAAAAAATATATTATTAAATAGTAAATTAGAAGGAAAAAATGAAGAAAAAATAAGATTAATTAATTAATAATAAAAGCTAAAGTTGAAAAAATAATTATGGGTTAAATTAACAGAGAAAGAACCAAAAAAGAACAAGTGCAATAAAAGGAAAAAAAAAAAAATCAAATAACCTGTAATGTATTAAATTAATTTTTATAATTAAAAATATTACAATCCAAAACAAATAAACTGTTTTTATCAAGTGTAAATGTTAATGGCAAAAAATGAACAAAAAATATAAAATAATAAAAAATAAATCATTAAAAATAGAAATGAAAATGAAGTTAAAGTAGCTAAAAAATTTTTGTTTTAATAAAAATCAACGATTGAATAATGATGATAATTTCTCTTACAAAAATTATTTATTTAAATATATTGAAAGTTAAATATATAAAAAATATTAATAATATTAAAAATAATATTTATAAATTAAATATACCTCAGATCAATATGGAGAACCTAATGAGATAAAAGTGGAGAGTTTAAAAACTTTTTTTATTAATAAAATAAAATGTAAAGGATATTAATAAAAAACAAATAATTACTTCTTTTAAGTAATAATAATTTTTAATCTATTATATCATTTATTTTTTTTTTCAAAAATATTGAAAAGAAATTTATGGAATTTAATTAATTATAAATAGATAAAAAGAAGAAATAAAATATCATATCAAATATTAATTTATAAATTTGCTTTCATCAAGAGATATCACATAAAAATTAATTTAACATTCATTATTTAATTTTAATAATTGTATTTTAAATAAATACTTAAAAGTAAAGTAGAAATTAGTGATGGATAGTAGTATAGTTAGTTATTCATATTTGAAAAAAATTAGTAATTAATTAACGTTCTTAAATTTTATAAAAATAATTTATTTTAGTAGATTTTTTTTTTAGATTAATAATTAATTATAGGAATATTTAATATATATCTAGTTACTTTCTAATCTGCTTAGTTTTTTTACAAGCACATACTATTTAGGTATATTATATTGAATGAAAATAATTGATTTTTTTATCATAATCTAAATGCAAAATTAAATAAAAACATGTAAAAATAATAAAATAAAATCTAAAACTGACTTTTCATTTGGGTATGCCCTTTTTAACTTATAAAATTTTATAATAAACAAATTATTTTAATTTAGAAATTTATTATAGAAATATGAATAAACATGAAATATATTAAATAAGAATCTATCATTTAATTAAATTATTTTTTATATCTTA